CTAATGCTACAGTTCTGAAATTAATTTCATGGCTGAAAGCAGACAGTACTCCAAATTTTGAAAGTAATGTCAACTGAAGCAAAGAACTGGAGTGCAATTTATTGTTGTACAGAAAACACTAAAAGGCAGAACCACGAAAAACAAACAAAAAAAACCAGTAGTCTCCTTTCTTTCACTTATTATCAGTTAATTTAATTACTAAATGCTTTTTAATTTGGTTAAATTTTGAAATATTGTTTTAATTGGAATCATTACTGTATTACAGGAAGAGTAACCCTGCCTCACAAGATAATTATCAACTTGTCTGTATGAAGATATTTAGGAACATTTCACAGTGCAAGGTTATTCTATGTAATTACCTTACACTTGCATTCAGTAATCAAAAGATCTTTGTAGGAGTAAGTAACTCTTTGATACTAAATGAGAACAAATGTGAAGACTGTTAACACGTTTTAACTTATGAAAATTGTTTTAAGTTTTGGTGGATTTACCTTAATTTTTCTGACTGGTCCAGTGTTAATAGTCAATAAACTATTAAACTGCTAAAGAGCTTGCTTTCCAGGTGTTAGATAAAAGCCTAAGCAAATTGCTTCTTTTGCAGAATTTGCAAATGACCCAATGTGTTATCACAGAAATTGCAAACTTCTGCACTAAGCCTCAAGATCAGCTTATGAGTCAGTTTTTCTTACCAGGTCTAATTCTTCTTGTATTCCCATAGTCCTATACAAGGAAAACTCATCTTCATACCATACTATCCTTGAGTTAGTGTTAGGGCTGAGGCCTACAGGATGAAGGAAAAAGTAATTAATTTGCTTTTCCATCATAGATTTTTGCACACTTTTTTCCTAGTTCTTTTGGATAGTCTAGCAAACACAAGAGATCCCTGTGTTTTTATGACAACGTGTGTTGAGAACATCTAAAGACATACATATTTGGAGAACTAATTCTCCTCACCAGTTCGAATTGTTTGTTCTCTCTCTAGAGGATCACTTATTTCTTCTTCATGAAGTGCTTTGTTATTTGTTGCTTAAACTAATATTCCTATTAAGGAAAGTTATACAAAAATATAAAACCCCAAACCAAAACCAAAAATCAAAAAACAAGCTTCTTAGCATCACTGCTTCCTAACTTCCAAATTCTACTTTAGGAAAATGCCTAAAAGAAAGCAGACAACAAAAGTACATGCAAGATATTTCCAAATCACAGCAATAGAAAGGATTACATACTTTGAGAACAATCATGTACTAATCCTAATTTTAATCCTCTATTTCTTCTACACAGTGAAACAGCTAACATACTTCAGACACAGTTAACCATGTAATATCTTCTCTCTTCAGGGAAAGGCTTATAGAGTAATGCAAATAAAAACTACATAAAGTAAATTGTTAAATCATAGAATCAGAATTGTTCAGATTGGAAAATGCATTAAAGATCATTGTGTACAACCACAACCTATCTTAACAAATAACCCTCCGTGAAATCTGCAAAAATTACTTTCCATCTATTCTTGTCTGTTGTTCATATAGTTTCTTTCCTGTTTTCCAGTATTTTGGAAGGATCACTGAAATAGTTTACTAAAGAGACAGGCAAAAATTAATCATAGTCATGTTTTAGGATTCAAGAATATTACCTATAAAGATAAGGAATTATACATAGTTTTCATTTCTGTAAAACAGATTTGGATTTCTCTCCTCCTCAAACATCTAATACATTTGACCATTTCACTAGTCATTTAAATTACTTTGTATCTTAGGGTATAAACATTAAAAACCATTTCCCAGGGGTTGGTGCTGTGGCCTGTCCTCTTCAGTATCTTTATTGATGACCTGGATGAGGGCATTGAGTGCACCTTCATTAAGTTTGCAGATGACACCAAGTTGACTGGAAGTGTCAATCTGCCTGGGAGTAGCGAGGCCCTAAAGAGGAATCTGGACAAGCTGAATAGCTGAGCTCAAGCCAATGGGATGAGGTTCAACAAGGCCAAATGCCACGTCCTTCGTTTTGGCTGCACCAAACCTAGGCTATGCTACAGGCCGGGGGCGGGTTGGCTGGAAGACTGCATAGAGCAAATGGATCTGGGTATATTGACTGATGCTCGGCTGAACATGAGCCAGCAGTGTGCCCAGGTGGCCAAGAAGGTCAATGACATCTTGGCTTGCATCAGGAATGGTGTTGCCAGCAGGAACAGGGAAGTGATTGTCCCCCTGTATTCAGCTCTGGTGAGACTGCTCCTCAAGTACTGTGCCCAGTTTTGGGCCCCTTGCTGCAAGAAAGACATTGAGGCCCTGGAGTGGGTTCAAAGAAGGGCGAGAAAGCTGGTGAGAGGTCTGAAGCACAGGCCTTATGGGGAGTGGCTGAAGAAGCTGTGATTGTTCAGTCTGGACAAGATTCTACTGTGTTTGGGGGAATAAGTGAGACTACCTGTCTTTCCTATTTCTTATGAGCTGCAGTGGCACAGCTACACATATTACATGTACATTGCTCCAAAAGTAATGCCTCCTATTTATTTCCAAGTAAACTGCAACAGATACAAAGAACACAGGAGCATCATTTCATTAAAAAAAAAAGTAATCTCATCTACAAAATAACATATTTCAAAATGGGCATCACCCAGAGATGCATTTTTGCCAGCAATGAACAAGAGTCTGCATGCTGCACCTATAAAAATCTGCATGGCGGTTTGGAAGGTGGCTAGTCTTTGATATCACTGTCACCACTACTGAAACGCACCACCTGTCTCCTCAGTGTGCTCGCATACACTTTTTGGTCTCCGTAAGTGTTTAGTAAGCACTGAGGAACTTCAATGGATGCAATTTTTTCAGCATAGAGGAGTTCAATTGCACACCTTTGTTTCATATGCATTTCCGTGCCAGGTACCATTTTATCAGACTACACCTCTGCTACCATCTGGCACATGGCAACAAAATGCAACAGAATATTGTTAGGAAGGTTCAACCTCTGCTGCCATGCAACCAATATCTGTTTGTGATGTCGTGGGCCAACATAAAAAAATGGGAGGCATTGCTTCTGGAGCAGCTGTCATACTGTAAAAGCTGAAACATATCCATAATACAGACTTTAGCAAATATATTTTGCTAGAGGTTATGAACAAATGTAATCAGTAATTATCTTAGCTGTGCAGATTAAAAGCTGTTTTGTCAACATAGGTAGTTTCACTGAAGAGTGGGGAAAACTTAGGGTGGATCATAACATGCAGTTCCCAAAAAGGTTTTTGCTGGCATGTGATAATGTTCTACTTGTCTATACTGGCAAAGTGCTCATAGTGCTGACACAGTCTGATAAATCATCCTTGAAAGAAAATTACGAGAGGATTTGTGTGCACACAGAAGTGTAGAACTGTAAATGATTTACTGAAACTTTAATATTTTCTGTAAAAGTAACAAAATGAAAATTTATGGGAGAAAACAGTTGAATTGGCTTCTCTTTTAATTAGAGGTAACTAATCATGTTAAAACAATAATTTATTTCATTATAATATTTTCCATATTTTTCATGGATGATTAAATGCTTTCTTAACACTGAACTGACTCTGTACTCCCTCGTTAGTAACTGTTTGGAAACAATGAAAATTATATAAGCTTTGAAGTTATTAGCACAAATTTTGTACTCTATAATGATTCTAAAGAAAGAAAAGAAACTGAATTTTAAAATAAAGGATAGGATTAGAATAGGATTACATATAAGTTTGCTTGTCATTTTATCTCACTGCATTTGCAGTGTTTTAAAATGAATGTGATAGGCAAGGAATCAAAACGGGAAGATGTAGATAACATTTCTGTACCAGTTGTTAAGTTCTAAAGGGGATAAGCTGGCATTATTTATGAATTGAGAGAGTGAGAGATGATGTAATTCACATCACTTTATTCTTTCAATTTATTTACACATCAAATCTGAACTTGGAACGAAGTCTAATTTGTCAGGCAAAATCTGTTTCCGAGCCTGCTACACTAATACTATCACTTATCATTTTGTATTTTTTCCTTTTCTTTTGAGCCTTTGTACAGTCTTATACTATGTACTCGATAGGTTATTGTAGAAGATCATATATATATCATATCATAGAAGATGTATGCAAAAAATGGGATAACATTGTTACTTACTGGAAGGAGAGATTATGGTCTTGTTTATATGCTGTATTCTTATCTGGGGAGAACAAATTCAGGTAAATATGAGGTAAAAGTAATAACTCAGTATGATATCTCAGTAATCCCAAATCATATACACCTAGGATTGTGTGTGAATCTATAATAGTATGGTAAAAGGGAAACAGCTAGTTGTCACTTTAATAGCAACTGTCTTATATTACAATATATTGAAGTAGATAAATTACCCTCTCAACTTTTTGAATATTTCACTCCCTGTAAGTATTATATAATTATATTTACATAGTAACACCTTCTATGTTTGTATGTCTTAAAATACATCAGTGATAAATGATCTGTTTGAAAAAAATGAAATGTTTTTCTCAAGGCTTTATCTCAGATAGTGGACCACAAGTGCTTTGGACTGAGTTTTGGTTTCATCTGAGATGTGTTTATCCCATTCGCTTATGGAAAATATTCATTATAGGAACCAGCTTCCTTCCCATGGTGTGCATTTTAACTTTTATGAATATATAATCAGTGATAGGTAAATTATCCAGGGAAAGTGGAAGAAGCAATTGTTGGACTGATACACTGTAGAGTTTACACTTTTCCCATTCCATTTTTAGATACTGCATTCCATACATAGATGAATAATTTTAATTTTTTATCTGTCTTTTAGCTTCTTCTAAGACATTAACATGATAACAAGAACCTTCCAAGGGGGAGCTATCCCAGTTGTCCTCATAATAGTTTGGGATACTAAGAACTGAAATTAGAAAATGATACGGGCTGTATAAAACTGCTAAGGAACCACAGAGATAACTTCATCTATAAGTTTACTTAAAGAAATGATAAACACATTGAGATTAATCCATTGTAAAGTCAAACATGCTAACCCAACAGTCTTAAAATCAAGTTATAAATTGTTATACATTGAAGTCCAAACCTTTAATCAGCCTCAGTTTTTTGACGTATGTATTCAAATCTATATCTCTTTTATATCAACCATATACATTTGAAATAACGTGGTTGTTTTTGTTTTTGTTTTTTTTTTCTCTTCATGGTAATTTCCAAAAACTGGAGTTGTATCCATTGCTTTCACAGAGTCCACATAGAAATATGTTGGGGGAAAAAAAAGAGAACTAGAAAGCATGCATATCCTTTCAAAATATTCAAGATGATTGCTACTGGCCAGTTGATTCTCTTATTACTGTGTTCTTCAGCAGGGTGTAAGAAAATAGTCTGTCAGAAACTCCAGCATTCAGATGTGTGTAGTCCTCATCCCAGATGTAGGGCTCATGTGACCCATGGTCCACTTACTCCACTCCCATCTTGCAGTTGTTTGCACTTGTTTTGAGGTGGGAAGCTGCTGGCATCCTGTCACCAGCTCAGCTCCTGCAGGTTCTTGACAAGTCCCTATAATGAATTGATAGTCTTTTGGTAGTACATCTCTGCTACTCCTCTGTAATAGGTTTACTAGAAGTGAAGCAAAATGGAAAGATACATGAGATTTCTGAGGAAAACGGTGATACTTATTTTAACAGAGGATTATAAATATTTGTATTAGATCTGGGTTCTCTATTATGTTGTGAATCCTGAGGAAGAAGTTTTTACAGGAGTTTATTAGGAATGAGAGCTATCCTTCTGTAAATTGAATATGTAGCATTTATATATACATATATATTAATATATATATATACACATATAATAGTAGATAAATCGAAATGAAAGAAAAACATATATATACATATACGTGAGTGCTTTTGTGATTCCCAGTAATCAGTAATCTGCTTACTAGAAAATAAAAAGTTCAAGGGGCACACACAGCCTAGGACACAGCTGAAGAGCTCTTGTGTACCTAAATCAGAGGAAATCATTCGTGAGATATGCACCAAAACAGGTGTCAGCAGCAGAGGTGACATCCATGCATAGCAGTCCAAAACATACCTTGTCTTTAACTTTGATGTCTCCTCTGAAGAAAAGCAGTGCTCACATACACTCTTTGGTCTCCATAAACAATCCAGCAAGCATAAGTGAATGCCAATAAGCGCGATTTTTTTCCACATGAAGAAATTCAATGACACACCTTTGCTTCACCGCATTTCCATGTCAGATACCATTTTGTCAGACTGGCCTTCTGCTGCCATCTATCACGCAGGGACAAAATGTAATGAAATACTGGTGGAAAGGTTCAACCTCTACTGCCATGCAATCAGCATCCCCCTCTAATATCATAGTCCAATGTAATCGAATAGGAGACATTACTTTTGGAGCAGCCCTCATACGTTAGATAACATTTCCTCTCCTCTTCTAGAGTACATTTTTAATAAAGGACGAGTGCCTCAGGAATATATACACAGCATTTTGTTTTGTTTTGTTTAGACAACGGAAATTAGGAAAATCATAGAAAATATTTCCAAAGTTTATTTCTGAAGACCCCTTGATGAACAGTTTATTTGAAGGTCTGTATGAATGTTTACAATATGAAGTAAAGAGTTGGTTCTGAAAATCCTTTAGTTCAGGTCATTTTGCAGTTCCTTTTCTGAAGACTGCTCTATCTATTTTTTATTATTCACTGAGTTTGTTCTGCTTATTTAACTGGGAAGAAATTATTAAAAGACAGAGAATTCATTCACTTCAGAAAAGCTCTTTTATCCATGCTTTACTGAACTATGAACTTACTGAGCTATACTGAAACTTACAGAAGTCTAAATGCCCTCATTGTAAGTTGGACATAAATACTGTCTATACATGGTGGCTCCTGAATAATATACTTTCTTGGAAAGGTTCAAAGACATACTGTGTTTTAAACTGTAGTAATACCAGTGTTGCTTGAGTTACAAACATCTGCTCAGAACTTTTCTGTAGTCAGCAGTGCTAGTTTTACAAGCAAAAATCTAAAGAAAACGTCAAACTATAACCATTACATCAGTTAAAGACTTTTCACACCTCTGTAAGTTACAAGTTTATACATGCTTTCACAAATCAATAAACTTTAAATGAATGCCTGCCACAGTTTTGAGCACAGAAGCATTGCTAAAGTTCTCTTACTGAGAGGTTGAAAAAAAATTTGTGTCCATGGCTGGGTCTCTTAATTGTGTACGTAAAAAAATATTTTTTCATCCTTTTTGGGTATCTTCCTTCTCACTATGAAAGTTATATTATGAGTTATCTGCTAGTTGGTGACAAAAGATATTAAATGTTATGGTATAAGCAGAAAAATGTTATTTCCAAAACATCTCTAGAGAAAAGTCTTATGACTCCTGTGGAGTTTAAACCTGTATGATGAATCCAGAAGTTTTTACCCACTATATATCTTTGATTAGTCAGGTAGAACTACAGTGTTTTGGAGGCGGAGAGTTTGTACCAGTACTTCTATAAGGACAGAAATACGTGTGAGTCATGTCATGAGCTTATTGACACAAGGAATCATAAAAGGATTTTGTCCAAGTTAAGGAATACTCTCATTCTTGATGCAGTAATATCCCTTTCTCAGAAATGGAATGTGAATTGGGAGTTTTGAAGTATATTAAATAGCACTAAAAGGGAGATGCGTATGTCCACTTTTATTTATTGACTACTCGGTCTTCTTCAGAGTCATTCTTGAGCACTGCCACAACACTAGAGTATACATCATGGATGGTTTTTGCTTTCTTCTTCACATGACTTAAAATGTTACTTGTCTCTATTTTTTTTCCATTATGTAATAGAATCGAATGCAGATTTTATTTCTTTAAATGATTATAGAGGTAGATATGTCAGAAGAAGAATATTTTACTCTTCTTATTTGTATCACGAGTTTTGTCTAGATCATGTAAATACCTTTATTTTGCTTTTAATTAAACTTCTGAAGAATTCAAAATTCAGTTTTCACTCCTGATTATTTTTTAATTGTAATGTCTGTGATTTTAAAATTATCTTTATTATTAGGAAGCTAATAAATGCTGTCATTCATCTTCTTAGGAATAGATATGATGCTTTTATAGCATAAAAATTTTGAAAGTTTGTTCTGACTCTGTATACAGTAAAATCATGTTTAGCTAAACTGTTCCTTTTGGAAGTAAACAGAATTGATTGAACACCGTTTTAAACCTGGAATGGCCCAAGACTCATTTCACCATAGGTGCTGAGCAGTGACAATAGAGCTATGCCAGTCCTTAATAACAGTGAATTCCTATTTTATCTGTATGCAGCTCTGTTAATACAGACGTAAAATTCAAAAATGAAAGCATAGTAAAATGTAAATTTGTCTTTATTGGAAGTATGTGTACGCTGTTCTTTGCAAACCAAAAGACTAGATTAAATAAGACTTGACTAGATTAAGTAAGAATCTTTTTAGGCTGTTATATGTCAACTGATCAGTATTTGGGAAAGACAGTGGTTAAGTGTCATTGAAGAGAGAAGTTGGACAAGCAGAGTACGCGACAAATAGTGCACTAAAGTAAATGTCACCTCCTAATTTCTATCAGAACAAGACAGATGTTATGGTCATTCTAAGGTATCAAACATGGAAGAAACCTATTTTTCAAAGCCTTTCATTACTTGTTCTGAAGACTCACTGCAGATTGTATGTGATATTAGATTATTTCTAGTTCCTGCTTACTTTTGTGTATTTTTCATCATAAGTTGTTATATTGTATTTCAGGTGCAAAAATGGGACTATCGTGCTATTCTAAAGTTCTTACTAGGAGCAATATATTTGATATCAGTGTTGTTTTTCGCTTATTTGTTTCTGTCTCCAAAAACTTTTTCTGGATGCCAGCCATACATTTGTTCTATTCATTTCTGAGTGAAAAGGTTTATTTGTTAACACCCTGATATTTACTTTACTTTACTTTACAAAACATGGTTATTTTATCATAATCTTTAGTGGTTAAGTGGAGAAGAATAATGATTTCTTAGCTGTGAAGTAAATACTCTAGTTTATGCAGTATGTTTTGTGGACAGTTTATGAAAAGAAGTTCATAGAGAAGGTCAAATTCAAGGATACATTTCCAGGAATGGACATCAAATTTCTCTTTATAATAGTTCTTTACAATTGAATTCTCTGCAAGTACTAAAGACAGAAAATGAAGGATGAGTTGAATATTATTATAAGTTGCTGCCATTTCTCTCACTTTTATGTTGTTTGCGATATATATTATTGGAAATGACTATGTGGGAAGATCTATCCTTTGAGGCAACATTGTCAAGGGGCTTTGCGAAAATACATATTTTTTATTTATAATCGTAAATATTTGGACCAGTAACACAAAGAGAACATATTTTTGGATTTAATCCACACACATTAATCAAATGATAGCTTGTACACACTCCTTTATTTGAAAATCAACATTAACACCCACTGTAAAAGATTATTTTTTTATAAATAAAAATATTTAGAGGTCTGACTAAATAAAGGAGAATGAATCTGAGCTCTATATTCAGGCTGCTATGCATTTTGTTTGTATTAGAAGTTCACACTGTTAAATGAATTGGATCTCATATCATATTTGATGTATTTAATATTTCTTTGCATAGAGACTGAGACTTTTGTCTTAGTGAGACATATGTATATAAATATATACGTGCAATGGTGAATGTCGAATGCACAATTAAAGAGTTGCTATGGGCCCACAGACCACTGTCACTTATCATGTATAAGCTGTTGCAATTCTTTTTCTTTTTTCTTTTTTTTTTTTTTCAATTTACAGTATTAACTTCTGCATCCCCAGGGGGAAAAAGAACTTATTTTGTGTTGTGCTTTTTTTCCCAGTAAGTGTTCCCACTACGTGTTTTAGGATAGGCAAAGACTAGCACACGCCTGAAGAAGAGTGCATATCTCAGTATCTCCTGAAGTTTCTACAGAAGTCAAAAGTATTATTTTAATAATCCTTTAATAATATATTTTCTGAAAGATTCACCTCAAGAAAAGTTCTATCCAGCACACTGAGGACATATTAACCTTCTGTTGTGATTTAAACCTGCAGCAGCTCAGCAGCACTCAGACATTCACTCACTCTCCCAGAAGTGGGGTGAGGGGAAAACTAGAAACAAAAGAGAATTCATGAGATGCGATAAAAACTGTTTACTAAGATAGTGAAGGAAAATGTAAACATAAATATGATGACCATATTGTAAATATCAACAAGTTTATATTTGTTTAATTTTTTAAAAAAATTCCCATGAAAAGTTCATTATGGTCTTCTATATCTATCATATAGAGCTTGAGAAAGAAAAATTTTACTTTGGAAATTTTGCTGGCCCTCAATTCATTTAATTAAAATCAGAACTTTCATGTTTCTTTTTCCCTTACTAGCTAATACTCAGGTTCACAAAATAAACACTACTCTGTGGATGTAATTTCCTTAAAACTAAGAGTGCTGGTTAGCTGTAGATTCAGAACAAAAATTTACCTTTTTTGTCATAGTCCTTACTGTAACTGAGTGATAAGTGCATGTAAAGTTTTCTCTGTTTACCTGGTACTGTAACAATTTCTTCATTGGCAATTGGTGAATATATTCATTAACGTACAGTGTTTATCTTTCAGGTACTCATCCTTGAGTGCTACCAGTTGAATTCCTGTTGCATAGAGCTATAATCCACACTGCATGTTTGAAGTTCTGGTATGACTTTACTTTTTAAAATTATACCAAATTAAAAGGTTGATGTTCGGGGATAACCAATAGCTTCCACAAAGTTATTTTGCCACTCTTTGCAATAATAATTAATAAAAGCTGAAAAATATAGATCCTTCCACTTTTACTGAAGTCTAACAGTCTAAATGACTAGAAGTCTAAATTCCTGAAGTATATAGGATACGTTGCAGGGACCTACATTATAAGTAAAATTATAAACATATAATGCAATGCTTACATATATTCTAGCTTTTAGAGTTTCCTAATCTCTTAGAGCATCCTATTCTTTTTAAAGTTTCCTTTTGTTTTTGAAGTGTTACTCCAAGTTATTCTTAGATTAAAAATATAACAAAAATGGTTAAAAAGGTCAATACATTTAATTCTAGGCATATCTCATTCTAATGAAGGCTCCTCTTCACAACATAATTGTTTTTAAACAGGAATTAAGCTTTTAAAGTACAAAAAGAAGTGTTATGGACAGTAAGGGGAGAAGTGGAGAAGAAAATGGTTTTTAATGACAAAAATGTTTGTACTATATTCGACAGCATATATTAGTGATTTATTGATTAAGAGTCAGTTAAACAAATATTGCAATTATAACTGAGGATTTCAACCTCCATTCCAGCAAAAGAGTATTTATGAAAGACATCTACCTATCTTATTTTCTGATTAATATTTATGGCTTGAGTAGAAGGTAAATATAAAAATGTGAAGTAAAAAACAAATTCGTATGGTTTTACTTGTAATTGAGAAATAGGTCCAAAATCCTTTTTCATTCCCAGATAGTCTCAATTACAAAATCACAAAAACACCAAGTTTGGAAAAGACCTACAAGATCATCCAGTCCAACCATCCACCTATCACCAATAGTTCTCACTAAACCATATCCCTCAACACAAAATCCAAATGTTCCTTGAACATCTCCAGGGTCGGTGACTGCACCACCTCCCCGGGCAGCCCATTCCAGTGCCTGACCACTCTTTCAGGAAAATAGTATTTCCTAACATAAGAAGGAAAACAAAGACTCTCTTTGCTGACAAGTCAGCAAAGAGATTTGGATATGTATGTCTGTGCATGTACACATGGAACCATATTTATATATAGTCACTGTACAACTTTGTTCAGTTATTGTATCTAAATTCCTTAACATAATAAATATACATAAGCAATGTCTATGATCTAATTCAGTATTCAGAAATATTTAATAAAAGTAGGGAAACTTTACTTTCACATTACTTGCTTAACTAACATCTCTGTTTCACCTCATTGTATCTGTTGTATCATTTTATTTACTTAGCCCATGGGTAAATCTTCACACCTAATTTAAAAGTGGTGATGGAGATGCTATGTAAAGATTAAATCACCACTTGTCCAGGTAGACAGTTTAGGGGTTGTGCCTTTGTGTAGATGCTTTGTATAGTGGTGGTCTGAGAGGACCTTTGTGGTTGGGTTTTTTTCTATAACCAGCTGAGAAAGACCTTGCCAAGAGCATTTTGGTGACATTATTTATTTATTGTTTCCTAAGTATATTATAATATAAGAAGCTACATATGTAGATTGTTCCAAATGTAATTCCTCCCACTTATTTTCTTGAAGAATCACAACAGCTCAGTTTGATACAGAAAATTATCAGCTACAAAGAATTATTTTTCAACACAGTCACCACTATTGGCTATATATATTTGTCAGCAATGAACAAGAGTCTGCATGCCACATTCATAAAAATCTGTATGGCCATCCGGCATGTCTTTCGTCTTTCACATCACTGTCTATACTTATATATACCACTCACTATCTCAATTTGCTTACATCCTCTGTTTGGTCTCCACAAACATTCAATAAGCACAAATGTCAACATGTGCATATCTTTCACCATGAAGAAGTAAAACACCATTTTGTCACTGTCCCTCTGCTGCCATCTGTCTCACAGCAACAGATACCAAAACTAAGGTCTACTACATACATAACACTGATGTAGACAGAACCTGCAAGTTGAAAAATACATATGTATCTGTATTTCATAGAATCATAGAATCCTTAAAGTTGGAAGGGACGTTCAAAGGCCATTTAGTCCAACTTCCCTGCAATGAACAGGGACATGCACAGCTAGACCAGGCTGCCTAGAATATGCAATCCAGCCTTGCCTTGAGAGTCTCAAGGGATGGGGCATCCACCACATCTCTGGGCAACCTATTTCAATGCCTCGCCTGTACTGTAAAAGACTTTTGCTTCGTATCTAACCTAAATCTGCCCTCTTTAAGCTTGAAATATTTTACCCTTGTTCTATCACAACAGATATTGAAAGGCCTCTATCAGATCACCTCAGAGCTTTCTTTTCTCCATGCTGAAGAGCTCCAGCCCTTTGTATTTGAATGATCAGCTATTGAATGACCTATGTGGAAATTGTCCAGAAATTTTGAACTTTGATAATTTCAGAAAATAATTTAGAGGTATTGTCACTCTGCACTGGAAAAAAAAATGGTGACAGGTCATGAATGCACCTTATATGGGTTGGGATGTGGAATAATAACATTTCAGGTTGGAGATAGCAGGAAAAAAATATAAAGGCAGATATTGCAGAAGAGACAATAAGAAGCTTAATGTATTACTCATGGGAAATGCATGACTTCATCATTGTTAATCACTGAAGATACTTTTCCATTTACTTAAACTACTAATATTTCATGAATAAGATGTCTCTCATGTGATATGAATTCACAGTTACCCTTCAGAGTGTCAACATCTGAAAAGGTGCCAAGCTAATGCAGAATGCCAAGACAAATCTTTCAAAACGAGTTCAAGTAAATGATCTCTTATTGCAGTAGGCTACCATAGCAATCACTAAAGACACTAGTGAAAAGGGACTTTTATTATTTTATTTTTATCAAGAAGTCTTTTGGGAGCTGTTTATTTGCTTCCCCTCTGTGTCATCCAGCTGTTCCTTCCTTTCATGGTCTTAGGGCTAATTACATAATGTTCCTAATTTATACTCACTGGTAAATCAGTTCAGAGCATTACCTGGAGGGCAAGCTGTAATTAGAAGAATTTCAGAACAAATTGTCTAAAGAACTTGCTTAGTGTGATTAAATGTATGTGATGGGCCTCCTTCTCTTTCTATTTCCCTCTCTTTAAAAACATGAATATTTACCTTATATAAAAACCTGGCAGATTAAAAAAATAATCCCAGCAATGACAGTTCTAATTAAAGGGATATAAAACAAATGCTAGTACTACCAGATAAAGCAAATTGAATTCTCTGTCTGTGGATAAATGTGAATGGATTCTGTATTCTCTCACTACAGTTTTAATATCTTAAAAAAGAGACTGTATTTCCAAGGAAAAGAGGGAAAAAGAAAAAAGTATTCAGTCGTTTGCCTAAAAGCCCTAAATATTGTAAAATGTCTGGTTTTGTCTTTATAATGCTTAAACTATAGCAGATATTTGTTGAGATGTTATCATAGTCCCTGCTGAAGATTAGAAAGGAATGAGTAGAAATGCCTCTCTGTGCATTGATTGGGGAGGGATCAAAAGCTTCTCAGTTAATATCATTACCAAGAATTAAATAACCTGAAAGTGAAATGACTCCTATCTCACGCTGTCTGCAATAGCTGTCTGGAGTTCATAAGAAAAACAATTGGAAGCCAAGAAAAGAGGAGAAGTTTAATAAAAGAAGAGCTTCTTTCTTACTGGTGGTGCCCCTTCAGATTGTCCACCAAGACTCATAAGCAGAAAATAAGTTAATGGAAATTTAGGAAATAAATAATGGCAATTTAATATTTCATCTTGCTCTGTTCATATAGAAATACAAATAATCTTTTCCACAAGAGGGTGAAGACAGTGATAAATTTCCATGCACCACCAACAGTTCTACTGCAAATTTCTACTATACTGTGTGAATTCGAGGTTGTCTAACATTCTTTAATTAAATTTCTTGTCCTGATTGTACCTTGAATGCATTGGCTCTACTATCCCTGCAGCTAATGTAAAATCAGCCTTCATCCTGAAACAACACCCACTTGCGTGGTAGGACATCATGTAAATTTGTTTGTCTTTACAGAAGATGTCCTGAACTCATTGTTTCATTATATTCTTGTAAAAACTAAAACCTATATGTGATGAATTTTACGAAGTGGAAAAAAAAGTGGAAGAAATATTTCCTTATATTATTTTCTTTAAATTGCTTTTGAATATCAGTGAATTCCAGCTTGATATCAGACTCTTGTGTTGATGCTAGTGAGCATTTTCTCCCATATCTGGAATGTTTGCTTGGGAAAATTATTTGCAACTTGGAATGCTATAACATAAAACAAGTTTAAGTATTCAAAGACTCATTCAAAATTTCTCAGTTAAATGGTTACTTAATGTAAAATGAAAAAAGATGATACATTACTGATTCAAAAGTGG